GTTGAGGAGGAGCTTTTGGGAGGTTTGTTTTCCAGAGGGAATAGTGCCTTTTTAAAAAATTTTAGTCCTAGGTGAGGTACTTTCTCCTCCTCTCTGCAGAATCCCATTTCTTCTTAGGAGCCGGGAAAAAGGATGATCCCTCCCCAGGAGCAAAGAAGGCTCATAGTCCTTGGCTGCCTCTTTCTCTCTCCTGCCTCTGTGATGCCTTATGATGCACTAGGAGCTGGGGGACAGTTGGTTCATTCTCTCTTTTTTTTCTTAATTTTTACAAATTCATTTTTTATTGAAACATAATTGATTGTACATATCTGTGGGGTACAGCCTTGAATATCAATACCTGGGTACAATATGTGATACTCAAATCAGGATGGTTCATTCTTAAGGGGATTGGAAGAGAAATAGAAGCAAGAAGCAGCGTTGGCTCCTGTCCTGGAGGCTGGGGTTGGAGGCAGGGTGGGCACTGAGCTTTTACACACCTTTGCCAAGGCCTTCCTCTGCCTGCAGAGCCAGGTCTGATCCCCTTAGAGGGTGCCCACACCCTCCCTGTTCCCCATAGGTTCCATCTCCCTCTTTACTGTATTTCAGACACTCCAGAAACCAGCCTTCCCCAGGACTCTCAATTCTTGATGCCTTTGCACATACTGTTCCCTCTTTATGGAGTGCCATTCCCTGCAGCTTCACTTATCACACTCCCACTCATTTCTCAAGACCCAGCTCAGATCTCTCTTCCCCTTTCCGAATAATTTATCCCTCAACTCCCTCAATGTGTCAGTGACATTTATCCCAGGGTGGCCTGTATTACAGGTGGTTTTAAGTTTTCCACAGGGTTTTGTGGGGGTTAAACAAGATTATGATATGGAAAAGGTGGACAGCACTGCCAGCGCATAGTAGGTGTTCAATAACTGCCAGTTCTGTCTTATGGATTAGGAATTTCTGGCCTTGCACATCATGGTGCACAAAAATTCTTGAATTCTTAAGGAGGGGACAGGAACAGGCTTGCAGCCCTGGCTCCAGATGGTTGAGCAATTGCTCGAAGACAAATGCTAAATTGTGTGCTCTTTGCTGAATTTCAGCTTGCACAGCACCCGCCACACCCTTCCCCTCCACCCCACCCCCATCTCCCAGGGCCTGCTGTGTGCAGCTTGTCAGGCTTGGGTAGGAACGTGAGAATGGCCTGGTCATGTCTCCCAGGAGCAGGAAGGCGTGCTCTCAGGAGCCCCCTTCTCACCTGGTTCCCTGCTGTGGCCCCTGGCAGACTCCTAGGGAACAGAGAAACAGGGACACCTGGGGAGGAATTGAAGCTGAGCCCAGAGATGGTGCCTTGTGTCCACACGGGGATAAGGCCTGCAGGGGAAGGATGGGCCAGGGTGCAAGGTGTGGTGACAGTGACAGCATAGAGCTGTAAGGGTCGGTGGGTGCTCTGGTCTGAAGGTGCTCTCAGAAGCTACTGGCCCTGAAAAAAACCCACCCTTGCCCCACCCTGTCCCCCAGGGCCCACTGCGCCCTGCTCTCCCTTCTCTCTCCTCCCTGGATGTAATAAACCCAGGCTATGCAGCTTCTTTATTTTATATATATATATATATAATTAGAAGAGTAATACAAGCAACTTACAGAAAATTCAAAAACCACAGAAAGAGAAAAGGAAGAGAAAGAAATCACCTCTAGTGATTGCAGAGGGGGGCAGAGTACGATGGGAGGGCACTTCTGTGAACATCACTTCTTCAAAGAGCTGCTCACAAGGGACCCCCACCCCCCTCCCCCCTGGGTGTCACAGGGACTGACTCAGAGACTCTGGTCAGGAGGCAGAGGGCTGAGGGGGTGGGAGAGTGAGTGGGTGGGGCAGCACTACCCACTCTGACTTTAACAAATATATTTTCTTATGGTCTTTCCTCTATGAGTATTTATTGTGATCACTGTGCATACAGTGCTTTTAAAAGCATAGTTAACACAGTGTCATTTGCAGGTTCTGGAAGGAATAAATCTTGAAGCAGTGCTGTGACAGGCAATACTTGCCAATGGGTGGTTTATAATTAATCATTCCCTATTTAAAAAATAGTGAGTCAGTTTTAAAGATTCAGAAAACCATTACTCAAGTCCCTTGGCAGAGGAAGTGGCCATTATGTTGCTCCCTGCAGCTCTGCTTTTGTGGAAGAGAAAAAAAGTCTTTTTTTTTTTTCCATATTTCTATGAGCTGCCCAAATACTTTGGCCATTGTTAGCGAATGCAGGAACAGAACAGCCCCTGCTATTGTTCAGGCTGGTCCCTAACCATGGCAAGAGATTCCATCTGAACTGGGTAAGGGAAGTGACCAGAAAGATATTTCCTGGAACTGGCAAAGGCGGAAGCAGAAAAGAGAGCTCCCTCTGGCTCCAGGCTCACATTTTCTTTCCTCAGCATTTCCTGGCTGTACAACGCTAGCTCTTCTGATCCCCAGTGTGGGGTCTGCCCATTGCACATGAGGGGGCACCACTTAGACCACTGTCACCTGTGAATGGTGCCTCTGGGAGTTTTCAGTGTAGAGACCCTGTTCCTGTGGGCACTTCCTAGGTGCCCTACATTAAACAAACATGTGCTAAGCACCTACTGAATTCTATGATGAGTGGCTCACATGCATGGTTGGGGGTGGGGATCTGTATATAGTTGAGGACTGTGCCGTGTAAAAAATGCCAATGAAAGGACGATCCATCCGTGGTCCTTGACCCCCACCTTGGATTTTCATACAACCTGCACTTGTGTCTGTGATATGTCATTGCTCCTAAACTTCTTTGTGAATTCTTTTTTTTTTGTCCTTTTTGAGACTGGCCGCACCACGCTCAGCCAGTGAGCGCTGTGAACGCACCGGTCATACGGGCTCAGCCCGTGAATTCTTATGGGAACTCTTTTTTTTTTTTTGGAGGCTGGCAGGTAGGGGAATCTGAACCCGTGACCTTGGTGTTATAAGGCTGCGCTCTAACCAACTGAGCTAAGTGGCCAGCCCTCCTTGTGAATTCTGATTTCTGCTCATCCACTGAGAAAGGGATATTGCAAGCACTGCAGTGGGGCCACCCACCAGCAGACAGTCCTCTTTTGGCAGCGTCTCCATCTTTGTTCCTACAAGTTCATAATTTGTGCACGAATTTGATGTCTGCGTTAGGTTTTATCCTTATAGCTGCTTTATCAAGTGGAAAATGGAAAAGTGAAAATATTGATACAGTGACTAGGGGTGTCAGTGTGTCTTCTAAACTTCATTCAGGCACAGATGGAAATCTATATATGAGTGGACACGGCACACTGTTGCCTCCTTCAGGTGCTCACTGGACTTAAACACATTTGACTCTGTGTTCAGTTATGAAGGAAAGGGACTTGCGTGACACACACATATGTGCTAAGACCAGCAGTTCACTTTTTTTTTTTTTTAAAAAAAGATGACCGGGGCCGGCCCGTGGCTCACTCGGTAGAGTGCGGTGCTGATAACACCAAGGCCGCGGGCACTCAGGGCCCACTCGGCTCTGTGACTGCTGGGGGTGAAACAGGCCCCTGGAAAGAGGTGATTGTGGGCCCTGCTTTTCCTCTTGGGTGGCCCACTTTCACACCCGTAATAACTTCGTATAGCATACATTATACGACCTTGATTTGGTGTTATCAGCACCACACTCTACCGAGTGAGCCACGGGCCGGCCCCAGCAGTTCACTTTTAGGGAAGTTCTTGGGCAAGCATGCCAAGAGTCATGTACAAGAAACTTGATATCCACAATCTTTGATATGACAAAACACTGGAAATGACCCAAACCTCCCTCAATGGGAGAATGATGGAGGTCACAGAATGGAATATTATATAGCAGTGAAAATGAATGCATTAGGGCCGGCCTGGTGGCGCACTGGATAGTGCGCCGCTTGGGAAGTGCGGCGGTGCTCCCGCCCGAGGGTTCGGATCCCGCATACAGACCGGTTCCCGCTCACTGGCTGAGCGAGGCGCGGGAGCAACACCGAGGGTTGCGATCCCGTTGCCGGTCCCCGGTCCGGTGCGGGGGCAACACTGAGGGTTGTGATCCGTTACCGGACACGGAAAAAGACAAAAGACAAAAAAAAAAAAAAAAGAAAGAAAATGAATGCATTATAGCTACATGTAAATGAAATATAGAAACATGAATGAAAAACGCATGTCACAGAAGTCTACATACAAACCTTTTATATAAAGGCTCAAAAATCAAGCAAAGTTCAGAAAAAGTTAGGGATCCATAGGTAGTGAACCTATTTTTAAAAGTAAGGGAGTGATAAACCCCAAACGTCACACTGTATAGGTAGGGAGGCTGGAGGATGGGGAAGCCCAGAGGGAGCTTCAGAGACAATGTTCATGCTAGTTTTTAGGTTGGTGGGAGCTCCTGGATATTTTATGCTTATATTCACATTCATATTATTATATTATTATAATAATTTGCATGTGTTCAATATTATGTAATACAACGTTTGTCAGTGGACTTTGACTTCCAGGGACTCTTATTTTCTGAGGCAAGTCCATTCAGGGGAGCACTGTGTGCTCTGTCCCAGCTCTGCAGCAGCAAATATGTCTTACATCTCTCAAGGGCAGGGTCTCTTTGATGCTGGATTGTATCCTCACCCATGCCTGGCTGCTGGGGCTTCCTTGAATGCTTGTTGAACATAGGACAGAGGGAAGGCCCTCCTTGTCCACTGGGGGGGAAAGTGAGGCCAGAGGGGTCTAAGGGACCTGCCCAAACTCATCTGGCCGCAAGGTGACAAGTCAGGGGCTCTGGTGGTGAAGAAAAAAACCTTAGATGACTGACTGCCTCCCTGGCCTTGCCTCCGTCCCTTTTCTGCCATCCTTGGGGTAGAGGGTCCCAGGGTGGAGGACTCTGGCTCCAAGTGGTAAAGTGAGAAGGAACCTTGGAGGGCATCTGTGGAGCCAGGGAGTGCCGATGCCAGGCACTCTGTGACAGTCTTCCCTGGTTTCGGGAGTGTTATCCACCTGGGAGTCACTGATCCTTACTCCTCCTCTCTGACAGCTGCCTCGGATGGGGGGTGGCGGAAGGGCAGCCTGCCAAGCATGAGATAAAAACTACTCCCAAGCAAGAAGGCTTTGCAGGCCAGAGAGAGACAGACACTTGTGCTCGTCCTCCGTCCCAGGAGCTCGGGCGGGGAGGTGAGGTCAGGCACTCAGGCAGCTGCTGAGCCACTCTGAAATCTTTGGCCAGGTTAATTGCTGCTGCTTGCTAATAAATGGCTATACATTTGGCTTGAAGGACCAAGTGTGCTTAACATGAAAATTAGTCGTTCCCTGGCTTCCGTTCCCTCAGCTGGTTGGACTAACTTAATTTTTTTTTTCATACAATGCTTTTACGGGGTCTGAACCCTGGACCTTGATGTTAGAAGGCCATGCTCTAACCAACAGCTAACCAACCAGCCCGGACTAATTTAATTGATTGGTTAGTAAATTAGTCCAAGGCAGTTCTGCTAATTTTTATCTTAGATTCTGTGAATCTGTAACCTGTACTCAAAAAATAAATAAATAAATAAATAAAATACCAGTTTACTTGTTCCTTTAATCTTTAATCTTCTTTTCCTTGAGTAGCAGAACACACATGATTCCTTTCAGGGGCTGGGGAATGCATTTGTTCTTTTTTACCTTACGATTTGGTCCCTAGAATAAAAATAACATTGCCAGAAGTTTTTTTTTTTTTTTTTAAAGTTGACCGGTAAGGGGATCTTAACCCTTGACTTGGTGTTGTCTGCACCACGCTCACCCAGTGAGCGAACCGGCCATCCCTATATGGGATCCGAACCCGTGGCCTTGGTGTTATCAGCACCACACTTTCCCGAGTGAGCCACAGGCCGGCCCGCCAGAAGTGTTTTTTAATAGGTAGGTGTAGGATACTGGAGGGAGCCCATGGAACAGAGAATCAGAAGACCTGGTGAGCTGACTTGGTGATCTTGTGCAGATCCCGATTCTTCTGTGCCTCAGCTACCATCTGTAAAATGGGCATACCTATGATTCTGAGACTTCCTGTGTGTTCGTGCATTCAGGGAGTCCCACTGGGGTACCTGGCATTCATTCATCTGTGCATTCACCACATGCTCAGGGGGTCCCTGCCATGTGCCAACGTTCTAGGCACTGGAAGATAATGGAGAACAAAACACGGTGCCTAGGGCCGGCCCAGTGGCGCACTGGAGAGTGCGCCGCCTGGGAGTGCGGCAGCGCTCACGCCGAGGGTTCAGATCCCATGTGGAGACCGGTTCCCGCTCACTGGCTAAGCGTGGTGCGGGCGCGACACCGAGGGTTGCGATCCCATTACCGGTCAGTAAAAAAGACAAAAAGTAATAATAAAAAAAAAACAAAACAGGGTGCCTATGCTTGTGGTGCTTGGAGTCTTCAGGGGAAGACAGACACGAAATTGGTAATTATTTGGTAGCATGTGGGTGACAGGGTGGCAAGGTAGCACCAAATGGGGGCTTAATCCAGCTGGGGCACAGGGAAGGCCCCTGGGGAAGGGATGTTTAGGCTGAGACCTGACACAGGAGGAGCCACTGTGGGATGGTTGAGGGAGAGTGAGCGGGAGAAGAGCACAGGGGTGGGGGGTGTGGGGGTGTCTGTACTTTCTAAGGGGGTGGGGAGAGATGAGGCCTCAAGTGTCAGCAGGGGCAGATGGTGGAAGGCCCTGTGGGCCATGCTGAGGAGCTTGAACTTTATCCCGTGGACAGTGGCAGGTCCCTGAAGGGTTTTCTAATTAAGGGAGTGGGGTGACCAGCTTGTGGCTTTAGAAGGCTCATTCAGGCAGCTGGGTGGAGAGGGCCAGGCTGGGCAGTCCACAGGGAGGCCGTTGCCTGAATCTAGGCAAAGGTGACAGTGGCATGCCTGGACCAGTGGAAAGACTCGAGAGAGGTTTAGGACTGAGGCCTCTTGTGGTTTCCCCAAAGCAGAATGAAGTCCCTTTCTCAGATTGCTCTGGGCTTACCAAGTGTCTCTCCTCCTTCCTCCAGAGGTGGCAAATGGTGTGCTGACCAGCCTGCCGGGGGCCAGCGTTACCCTGACCTGCCCAGGGGGAGAACCAGCAGACAATGCCACTGTTCACTGGGTGCTCAGAAATCTGGTCGCCAGCTCACTCCACATCAGATGGGCCAGTGTGGGTAGGAGGCTGCTTCTGAGGTCGGTGCAGCCCAGTGACTCTGGAAACTATTCGTGCTACCAGGATGGCCACCCAGCTGGGACTGTGCACCTGCTGGTGGATGGTGAGTTGTGTGCTCAGAGCTCAGAGATGGTTCCCAGGACAGCTCCATTGCCCCTAAGAAACTTGGCTCTGTGCATTCCAGAGAAATCCTCTGCCTGACCCTTTTAACGCCTGTTATTTCCTTGGCCTGACAGTTTTGGGGAAAGGCCCAGTGATGTCTGCCAGTGAGATGCTGGCAGAAATTCTGGCGGGATGGGGGATCTGGCTGAGGGGGAACGCTGTCTACCTGGCCTTGTGAAGTAGGGCTTTTGGTGGATTGGGTTATAGTGTGGGGCCAGGCAGCCTTGGTTTGAATCCTGCTCTTTCACATACAGCTTAACTCCTCTGCCCTTCAGTTTCTCTTGGGCAAAATAAGGTTAATTTTATTACCTTACCTTAGAGTTGGTGTAAAGATGAAATGAGTTTATATGTGTGTGTATGTAGTCACACACACATGGTGCTGAAAACTCTGCATAGCACATACTGAGATCTCAAAGTAGCTATTCTTGTTTCTAGAATTAGCAGGTTCTTAGCTTCCTTACATCTAGATAAAGACTTCATAGAGCTGATGCTCTGTGTGCCAAGCCCTGTGCTAAGGCACTGCCTTCCTGGTTCTCATGCAATCCTTCCAACCCTGTGAGGGAAATGAGGGAAAGCAGTATTATTATATTACCATCAGTTAATTTTATAGATAAGGAAACTGAAGCAAGGTTGGGACTTGCCCAAGGCCACACAACCAGGTCTGTGTGACTCCAAAGACCTTACTTTTTTTGGTGGCTGATCGGTATGGGGATCCAAACCCTTCACTTTGGTGTTATAACAACATGTTCTAACCATCTGACCTAACTGGCTAGCCCTTCATGCCCCTATTTTTTGGATGATCGGAGCTTCCCTTTCTTTGTCCAGGATCCGCTTCCAGCCTGACATGAGGACTTAGGTGACCCTTAATTTTCCAGCCACAATTAGATCCCCATGTGGTTGAGTTAGGCCATGATGTCCTGGCCATTTCTGGCTCCAGGGCCAGGGGCTAAGGGCTGAGCCAAGTGCTCCCTGCAGAGGGGAGGCCACTCACTACCCATGAGGTCAGGTGCGCTCCGAGGAAGCCCCGCTGCCTCCTTACTCTGCTGCGCTCTCCTTTCAGTTCCTCCAGAGGAGCCCCAGCTCACCTGCTTCCGGAAGAGCCCCCTCAGCAAGGTTTGTTGTGAGTGGAGTCCTCCGAGACCCCCTTCGCCGATGACCAAGGCTGTGCTAGTAGTGAGGAAGCTGTAAGTATCTCGGGCTGGACCTGTGTTTATGTCCACACCGTCCTTGCCGAGGTCCCCGGAGTGGTGGAGAGGCTTGCAAAGGAACCCAGTAGAGCTGGCCAGCCAGTGATTCCAAAGTGTTATCATAGAAAGTAATGCCTTTGGGATAAGGAGGAGGGAATAGGAGGGCACTGAGAGTTTCTTTTGACTACTCGCCCGGTGCTGGGCACTGCGCTTCGTACTTGGTCCTATCAACTTTTTAGCTATCACGACAGCTATGAGAAGTGGTTGTTATTTTTCTTACTTAACAGATGGAGAAACTGAGATTCAGAGAGATTGATCAGCCTGGTTTAGGTTATCTAGCTGGTAAGGGGCTCTGCTGGGAATCCAATCCCATTCTGTCTGATTTCATTAAAAGTTCAAAGGTTTTGGGCGTTGCTCTGAAGAAGATGCAGATATCCCTGTCTCTGGGAGCCCATTATCAGTATCTTGACCCTGTGAGCTTATCAGGCTCTTTGCATTACAAAGGCAGATGAGAGGAAGTGGTAATGGGGGGGGGGAGAGAAGTCACCTTGCCTGGGGGTCCCTGCTCGAGTGGGAGGACCTGCGATGGGTTCAGGCATGGGTGTAGAGGAGGTGGAAGATGCTGAAAACAAACTGACCTCTGCAGTTTTGCCTGTTTCCATCCCCACACCAAGGTCTCCTTAGTCTAGATGTTTATACTGAGTTTGAGCTGTCAGTCATCGGAGTACAGTAGTCCCCCCTTATCTTTGAGGGATACATTCCAAGATGCCACAGTGGATGCTTGAAACCGCAGATAGTATAGAACCCTATATGTACTATGTTTTTTCCTATGGATATATACCTTTGATAAAGTTTAATTTATAAATTAGGCACAGTAAAAGATAAACAACAATAACTAAGAATAAAATAGGACATTTATAACAATATACTGTAATAAAAGTTATGGGAGTGAGGTCTCTCTCTCAAAATATCTTATTGTACCGTACTCACCCTTCTTGTGATGATGTGAGATGATAAAATGCCCACGTGAGGAGATGAAGTGAAGTGAGTGATGCAGGCATGTGACGTAGTGTTAGGTTACTCTTGACCTGACAGTACCCAAGAAGGAGGATCAACTGCTTCGGGTGATCCTGGATCTTCAGGCCATGATGATGGGGATGTTGGATGTCAGGAGCAGAGGATGCGGGTGACTAATGTCGGGCAGCGTCTGCATTGTGGATACACTGGACAAAAGGATGATTCACTTCCTGGGCGGGATGTGAGACCTCAGAACAGGGCACAATTTAAAATGTATTGTTTATTTCTGAAATTTCCCATTTAATATTTTCAGACCTTAGTTGACTGTGGTTAACTGAAACCATGGTTAAGGAGGGGACTATTGTATCAAAAAATCAGCAGTGACTTCAACAGGGTGGTTTGGCTTCCATTTGTGTCTGTCTCCAGGTAGTCACTAGGTGGCTGGCAGTAATATGTATGTTCTGGCCTCTACACTGGGAGTGTAGATTACCCATCTGCAAATGGTACAGCTGCCATTAGGACTATTAGCTCACACCCCAAGTAGGGAAGACCAGAAAGCCTCACAATGGAAAGCCGGGTTTGGATATACATTGCCTGGGATGTGGAAGGCTTTCATCCATAGAGAGGATTAAACAGGGTAGACACAGCGGCCTGAGCTTCCCAGCCCAGGCATGGAAAGCTTATTCATTTTTTTTTTTTTTTTTTTTTTAAAAGATGACCGGTAAGGGGATCTTAACCCTCGACTTGGTGTTGTCAGCACCACGCTCAGCCAGTGAGCGAACCGGCCATCCCTATATGGGATCCGAACCCGTGGCCTTGGTGTTATCAGCACCGCACTCTCCCGAGTGAGCCACAGGCCGGCCCAAGCTTATTCATTTTTGACACTTCAACTAGAATACTTTGTTGGCAGTAAGAGTAGGAGACAACAAAGTGTTTTAGCTCACACCCTCCTCCTGCCAGCAGCCTGGGGGCTGGCATCTGCTTTGAAAAGACAGCAGAGCTATTGAGTACCTTTGAAATGAGGAAAGTGGGGAGGGGGAGCCTCAGGGACCCTGTATCCACTCAGGGCCCACTCGGCTCTGTGACTGCTGGGGGTGAAACAGGCCCCTGGAAAGAGGTGATTGTGGGCCCTGCTTTTCCTCTTGGGTGGCCCACTTTCACACCTTCCCCCGACTAAGCTTGCGCACTCTTCCTTCCACGTTTGGCGAGTTCAGCGTGTGCCTTGGATGAAGTGCTGTGCTGGGGCTGTGGGAGCTCCTGCCCTCAGACACTAAACCAGCTGATGAGCAGCCTTCCCAGTGCTGGGTGGAATGGAAGCCTGGGGGGTGTTGGAGGGACGGAGGGTGGAAGACTCCAACTCAGACTGGGAAGTTGGGGCAGGCCTCCCAGAAGAAGAGAGTTTGTCCCATGTGCTGGACTCAGCCTTAGCCCAGGGTGGAGTGGCTGCCGTGCATCACATGCCCATACACGTCATCATGGGTGAAATGTCAGGCTCCAGGCCAAGTGGGATGGTGTCTGACTCACTTCAGTGTCTTCAGTCACCCAAAATCCTTTTCTGGACTCACCTGCCGGAAATACCGCATCTCTCTGTGAACCCTCTAGCACTCTGTGCTTCTGGAATGGCATTTTTACTGGGTGTCTAGTCATCTGAGGGTGGGTGTTTTCTGTTCATGTCCTGAGGCCAGGGTGGGGTCTCTCGTTTAATTTCTGCATTTCCCCACAGCTCCAAGAACACAGGACCTGGCATAAACCCAGAGCTTACCGTGTAGCTGCTGCCTAAGTGAGTGGCTGGGCCCTCTAGTCCAGCACCCTCACTTCTCTGTGCCAGGTGCTAAACTAGATGTTTTACATACATTTTTCAGTTAATCCTAACAGAACTCCTATGAGGTAGACACTATTAACATTCTCATTTTCAAATGAGAAAAAAGATACTCAGAAATTGAATAATTTACTCAGTCACAAAAGCCAGTAAGTCTGGAGCTGGGATTCAAACCCAGGGTTAGACTTCAGAGCCTGAGCTCCTAGCCCCTGGCCCTGACCTTCTCTCCACTCTTGAATAAGTGCAGAAACTGATAGGCAAGGCCTGCCTTTGCTTTGTGTCCGACAGTCAGTACAGTCCACTAGAAGAATTCCAGGAGCCCTGCCAGTATTCTCAGCAGTCCCAGAAATTCTCCTGCCAATTGGCAGTCCCGGAGGGAGACAATTCTGTCTACATAGTGTCCTTGTGCGTAGCCAACGGCGTCGGGAGCAAGTCCAGCAAAACCCAGATATTTGACGGTTATGAAATCCGTAAGTGACCTCTTCCCCACCCTCCAGCTGTTTTCCTCTCTTCTGATTTAATACTCCTATTGACTTCTCAGAAGGGGCAGGGAAGGGGTGGTTGAGGGGTTTGGTGAGCTGGTGCTTTTTGGGCGTTGCTTGCCAGGAGGTCAGACTGATGGACGTGGGCCCTGTCAAGGTGTGCATGGGGAGTGGTCTGGGGCTGGGGTGGTCCTGCCTGGATGGGGGTCTGCAGATTCTTCATGGGTCTCTGCACCATGTTGACTGCTGCACAGGAGCCATGCTCACTTTCCCACAGTGCAGCCCGACCCACCGGTCAACATCACGGTCACTGCCGTGGATGGAAAACCCCGCCGGCTCAGTGTCACCTGGCAAGACCCCGACTCCTGGAACTCAAATTTCTACAGACTACGCTTTGAGCTTCGATACCGGGCTGAACGGTCAAAGATATTCACAACATGGATGGTAAGTTTATCTTTTACTTTTGGACAGAAAAATTCCCCTAGATACTTGAGGGTAGCAGAGAAAAAAAAAGGTTTCTAGGCCCTGCTTTGTAATTTACCACCTGCATGGTCTTGGGTAAGTCTTTTCAGTTCTGAGCCTTCGTTGTCTTGTTTATCAAATGAGAATAATACTACCAGGCCAATCTCCTCTTCACAGGCCTGTCTGTGAGAATGAGAGTACGGCCAGGGAAGGGATTTGGGCTGTGAGCACGCCAAGGCTTGTGGCTTGCAGGATTCTGCAGTGCGTTGGGTGGGGGCAGTGACTTACAGCTTCAGCCTGTGTTGGTCCCGAGGGCAGCCGCATCTCACCCTGAGCCTCCAGGCTGGTCTGAGACTTCGGAGCATCTCTGCCAGTTGGGTGGTGAAGGGCGCCGTCTCCCTGTGAAGCTGCCTAACCAGCACCCCCTCCGGGCCCCATCCCAGACTCGTGATGCCTCCCACCCTCAGGTCAAGGATCTACAGCATCACTGCATCATCTACGACGCCTGGAGCGGCGTGAGGCATGTGGTGCAACTTCGGGCCCAGGAGGAGTTTGGGCATGGCTTGTGGAGTGAGTGGAGCCCAGAGGCCATGGGCACCCCGTGGACAGGTACTGTGGAGGGCTTAGAAGAAAGAAGGGCTGTTTCAGTTTTGTCACTATATCAGTCATCTATTGCTGTGTGACAAGTCACCCCAAAACTATCTGCTTGAGATTCTGAAATAAGTCAACCAGGAACTCTTCTGCTGGCTTTGCCTGAATCACTAATGCAGCTCCACCATGTCTGGATGGCCCAAGGTGGCCTCACTCACGTGTCTGGTGGGTGGTGCTGGCTGGTGGCTGGTGGTGGTTCTCCCTGTAGCCCAGACTCAGGGGAGTTGGGGGAGGAGGGGATGGGTATAGTGGGGGCAGGGGGTGACAATCACTCTGCAACTGGATGGGAGGAGCTGCGAAGAATTGTAGCCATATGATTGTATTTAATCTATGATAGTTGCTAATGCTTTTTATTTGTTAAAAGTAATAATAATTGCCTTTTGGGGACTATTGAAATTAATGTGTTTGTTATAGAACATGAAAAACTACAGAAATACATGAAGGAGATAATGATGATCACCAGTATTTTTATTTACCACCTACAGAAAACAAGCGAGAGGGCCGGCCCGTGGCTCACTCGGGAGAGTGTGGTGCTGATAACACCAAGGCCACAGGTTTAGATCCCTATGTAGGGATGGCTGGTTAGCTCACTTCAGAGAGCGTGGTGCTGACAACACCAGGTCAAGGGTTAAGATCCCCTTACCGGTCATCTTTTAAAAAAAAAAAGAAAAAAAGAAAGAAAGAAAGAAAATAAGTGAGAACATTTTAGTACACTTCTTTCCTTTTTCTAGGTACATTTATGTGTATTTTTATGTGTGCATATGTATGTATAGATATATAAATATAGTATTATGAGCATTCTCCATGTTGTCAAGTATTTTCTGGAAATATATTATTTAGTAACTGCATGATTAATATTTTCTTTTCACCCATGGAAGTTTTTTTTTTTTTTTTAACTTTTAAAGTTTTTAAAAAAAATCAAATTAATTCATGCCAAAGAAGTAAAGAAAGGCTTATAATACCAAGCAGTGGTCCCTTGGCCCATCCCTTTTGTTTCTAGTCCAGCTAGGAAGCTGTTTGACTCTTTCTGTTTCTAGTTCTACTGTTGGTGCTCTCCTTGACTCTAAACAACAAGCTTATATGGCTGAGTTTTTTTCTGATAAGACAACTTGAGACATTATCTACTGACACCCTGCTGTGAAAGTTTAGGACTTGGCAGACCTGGAATGCAGAACTGTTTGCAACCACAGCCCTGAGGTGGTCAACCAGCCTGGGCTTGAATGTGTCCAGAGACGGAGAGCTCACTACCCTTTGTAGCAGTTCATTTCACTGTTCCCAGTGTTGTTATCGTAGAGTGGCTTCCAGGCTCACTTTGTGGTCAGATCTCTTCAGTCCTGTGACATAGCTGAACCAAATTAATCATTCTTAAATACTTGACAATCAAAAAAATAAAATAAAATAAAAAAAGAAGATACCCATTTATTGAGAGTGTGTGTATAAAGAGAAAAAGATAGAAATGACATCAATTGCCCAGTCCCATTTCCACCTCTGCCACTTTCTCCCAGCCCTGACACCAAGAAGAAGACTTTTACAAAGCTATGCATTTTCTCCCAGATTGGATGGTACCATGTGATGGGTCCTCCTTGTCCCTGGCTTTGAACTATGGGGTCCTTGCCCTTGTCTTTCCTATCCTGGGGAGAGCCAGAGGAGTGGGCTTTGGGCTTAGGGTGTTGTCTTAGTTAGACACATATAATATCAAATGCAGGCTCAGCTCTTTGTTGGTGCTTTCTCCACCTCCTGTTCATCAAGAGCAGGGGGCAGCTTGCTACTGGGCCCTCTTCTCAAAAGCTTACTTTCTGCTAAGACCTGGACAAGAACGGGAGCGTAACTACTATATCCTGCTTAGGAAGACCATTTAAATAAATCAGAATATCCTTCAAGCTAGATTGTGTTGACCTGTCCATGGTTTTCTTTTGATTTGTATATACTTTGAGTATATACAAATGTAACACACCCATTATCTGAGTGCTTTTGCAAGGGGATAAAATCAGTTACGACATGGTGCAGAGGAAATGCTCTGGATACAGACTGACACTTGTTTTACCTGTTTTTCCAATCACTTAGCTTAGGTACTCATAAGCAGATTTAAAAACTCCTGATTTGTTAGAAAGTTCCTTCTTTTTAAAAAACTTTTAATTGTGGCAAAATATACATGACATAAAATTGACCATTTCGATTATGTTTAATCACACAGTTCTGGGGCATTCAGTACATTCACATTGTTGTGCGACCTTCACCACTGTGCATCTCCAGAACTGTTTTTCACCTTACAGAACTGAAATTCTGTATCTGTTAAACAGTGAGTACCCATTCAACCTACCCCCAGCCCCTGCAACCACTATTCTACTTTCTGTCTCTAAGAATTTGACTGTTCTAGGTGCTTCAAATAAGTGGAATCAGATAGTATTTGTCCATTGGTGACTGGCTTACTTCACTTAGCATAATGTCTTCAAGGTTCATTCATGTTGTAACATGCATCAGAATTTCCTCCCTTTTTTTTTAAAAGATGACCGGTAAGGGGATCTCAACCCTTGACTTGGTGTTGTCAGCACCACGCTCAGCCAGTGAGCGAACCGGCCATCCCTATATGGGATCCGAACCCGTGGCCTTGGTGTTATCAGCACCACACTCTCCCGAGTGAGCCATAGGCCGGCCCGAATTTCCTCCCTTTTTAAAGCTGAATAATATTCTATAGCATAGAGAAACCAAATTTTGTTTATTTGTTCATCTGTCAAGGAACTCTTAGGTTGCTTTCACCTTTGGGTTGTGAATAATGCTACTATGACCATGGGTGTTTAAATGTCAGTTCGAGTCACTGCTTTCATTTCTTTTGTGTACATACCCAGAAGTGGGATTGCTGCATCACATGGCAATTCTATTTTTAATTTTATGAGGAACCAAGATACTGTTTTCCACAGCAGCTGCACCGTTTTACATTCACACCAGAGTGCACAAGGGGTCCAGTTTTTCCACATCCTCGCTGACGCTTGTTATTTTCCACTTTCTGGATAATAGCCATCCTTATGGGTATGAAGTGGTATCTCATTGTGGCTTTGGTTTGCATTTCCCTAATGATTAGTGATGTTGAGCATCTTTTCATGTGCTTGTTAGCTGTTTGTATACCTTCTTTGGAGAAATGTCCTTTCAGGAAGAAAGTTCTTTCTCATGTAAGCCCAACTCTGGCCTCACTGGCCCTGGCTCTGTCCTCTGGAGTGACTCATGACAAATGTCCTAGTCTGCTCTCTCTGAATTCTTCTGGAGTTCCCAGAGGACCTGCTTGGGCTCCTCTTCCCAGGCTGTTGCATGGGATGGTTTGCATGTTCCTCACCTGTCTGGTCACCTTTCCCTGAATCTGGTCTTATTTGTGGATGTCCTTCTCAAATTGATGACATCCTCCCTCCAGTGGAAGATGGCATAGCAGGGGCCATCTGGCCAGCACTGGGTACAGTCTCTGACTTTCCAGCCTCAGGTCACTGTGCTTCTGTGACCTGCTGGAGTGACCACGTGAGCTCAGATAGAATGCATGATTTTTTTGGTCCTTTCTGGCCACACCCAGTGAGTGCTGTGAGTGCACCGGTCATCCCTATATAGGATCCGAACCCGCGGCGGGAGCGCTGCTGCGCTCCCAGCGCCGCACTCTCCCGAGTGTGCCACGGGCTCGGCCTGAATGCATGATTTTTTTCACATAAGCTGCCGAAGAGTTTGAGCTCCCCATCCTGTGCGTATGTGGTTTGGCGGAAGGGGGGTGTCTTCAGAACTCCAGTGGTGAATATGTCCAAGAGAGAAATCTCTTGCTCTGGCAGAGCAAGAAGAACTTGAGTGATTCTGATTCTAGAAGGATTTAGGTTGGAAATTGGGGAGCAGTTCTGGAAAAGGAGAGCGCTGGTAGAATAGTAGGTGATGTGTGTTTTACCAACAGTGGAGTCATTCAGCTGTTTGGGACAAGTCAATGCACTAGATGTGACATCAATGGGTTTTCCCACCCCAAGGACTTTCAGCTGTCAAAGCCCAGAGAGACAGGACACCCCTGCCTCCCAGGTGTGGGGTGTTGACCTCTGGGGAACACAGATGTCAAACACACTGGACCTGGGAATTAGGTTGTATGCCATTAGTAAATTGTTTCACTTCTCAGAGTCTTGGTCTTTTCATCTGTAAAGTAGGGATGATGCGGCCTATCTTGTCTCCTTTGGAGAGTTTTTATAAGTCCAGTGAAAAAATATTCATACTGTACATGTAAGGGGATTAGCAATTACAGGACCATGTTGGTTCTTGGGATGAGGAAAGTGAAGCTATGGGGATCCCACAGTCACTGTCCTAGATGCCATCCTGGACCCACTGAGTTGGAATCTGGAGGGATAAGTAGAGTGGGTAGTTTGAGAAAGCTTTCCTGGTGATTTTAGTATGTGCTGGGGGGCTGGGAGGGGGTGCTCTATTGTAATATAGCTCAGTAAGGCTGTGGGGCCACCAGTTCTGTAGAAGTGGTTTAGAGATAGCAGAAGAACTTCTTGGAGGAGGTGACATTTGTGTTTTGTCTTGGGGGGGGTGTCTCAGAGAGAAAATGGAGATAGCAGGTGGAGAGGACAGCAGGTGTGAAGCGTGGAGCTGTGAACAAGGGGAGGGTGATGGGGAGCTGCTTGGTGAGGCTGGAGGACAGGTGCGTGGATGGGAGGTCTGAGCGGGGCAGCTGGAGGCCCGCCTTGGAGGGCCCGTTTGGGAGTGGAGGGAGGGGGGCTGGGGAGCCTGGATTTCAGCGGATGCTGCCCCTTTTAGGCTGTGGCCCCAGCACGGCCTTCTGTATGAAGGTCACACTGTCTTGGGGACCCTGCTCCTGCCAGCATGGCCAGGTCACTGCTGTCAGCCCCGGTGGTAGTGGCTCAGTAAGATTGTGCCACTGATGTTAGGGCAGGAAAAACAGGCTGGTGCCCTTAGTGCAGGGAGCAGGGATTATATGTGGACGGGGCACTGTCAGCAGCTCTCTCCCGAGTGGGAGTTCTCCTGGATCTGTCCTCTCCTGGTGGGGAAGTCTCCCTGATCACATATAGAATTTGTGGGTCCCTAAGAGGCCCTTTTCAAAGTGAGCATGGGGTGAAGTGCCTGGGGAAAGCCCATTAGGTATAAGTGTTATTTCTTGCTTCTCACAAATCCCTTTAACTCTCTTATTCCCCAAGAATGGGAGTAGCACCAGTCGGAGGAGGTGCTAGAGGTTTGTACTTGCAAGGCACATGGGTGCCCCGAGGCCAGGGCTGGGGCCCTGGCCTACATACCTGTAGCTACATGTTGTCTTCTCAAATCCTTTGGCTATCCCTCTAGGGGAGTTCTGTCTTGTTCCTCTTCTCAGAGCCCCACGTGGGACATCCTGCAGCTTATTTCTATTTATTTATTTATTTTTTAATGACCGGTAAGGGGATCTTAACCCTTGACTTGGTGTTGTCAGCACCACGCTCTCCCCCCTGAGCCACGGACCGGCCCTATCCTGCAGGTTAAAGAGTGCTTGGTTCCACCTTTCTGGAGATCTTGCCCTGTTTCACTCCTCCACATGGCACCCCTCTCATTCCTCCTTCTGTGCATTTTCTGCAGCTTTCTCAAACCACCCATTCCACTGGGTACCCTACCTGCTTCTACCGTGTCACCTGCCACTTGGTACAGAGTGCTGGCTGTGGAGTCAGACAGACTTGGGTCTAGTTTCTGGCTCTGCTTCTTACTAGCTGGGGAAGTACCTAACTCAGCCTCAGTTTGCTTATTTGTCAAGTGGGCATAATAATGCCTGCCTGAAAAAAACCCCCCAAACCAAAACACCTGTCTCACAGCGTTATGAGGCTTCAAGATGGAAAGCGATTAGCAAAGAGTCTGGCATGTATAAATGTGTAATAAATACCATTACTATTAATGTAATGTAATAAAATAGCATTACTATTTTACCTGTGTCTCCTGCCAAACCTGTCTCTTGAGCTCTGGATTCCGATCTCTACTCTGCCCAGACATCTGCCCAGGTCCTTCCTCCTGCACCACATACTTGGAACCAGACAGTTTTGGTTTAGATTCTAGATTTGCCACATGCTACTTTGAGCAAGTTATTTAACCTCTCTGCACCTGTTTCCTTTTCTTTTTTTTTTTTTTTTTTTTTTTTTTTTTTTTTTTTT